AAGCCACCCCACTCTTTTCTTACACAAAAAAATAAAGTCGAGCATACTAAACAAAAAACTTTCTCTTAAAACTAACTCGACGAAAATATATCTACATGTAAACAAATAATGGCACTAGAAAGCGTGCTTCTTATTTTCTAGCTACCCTAATAAAACAATAAATTTAAATTCAATAGTACCAATCCTAGCCTAGCAGAATGCCACTAAAGGGTCCAAACATATTACACAAAAGAGCTATAAATCTATCTAAACATGAAACTTACAAAGAAACTAAAAATAACGAATATCATAAAAAAAAGGTTAAAATTTACGAACAAGAGGCATTATTTACACATACTATAAATTAAAAGGTTAATACTGACAGGGGTTGCCACGCTAATTAAACATTTACAATTTAACAAAACTTTACTTCTAACAATAGATAAACATAAACTTAATTTTATACGGTGAATACCGAACAATATGATTTATCTTGTCCTCCATTCTCGTATTTATTGCTTCTTGTACGTTCTTTATTTCTGTTTTCATTTCTTCTTGTACCATTTTCGTATCATCTTGCACTGATTTTAGTTCTTACTTCATTTCTTCTTGAGCCGCTTTTAGTTGTTCTTATGCCAGTTTCACGTCATCTTGTACGGCTTCCACTTTCTGTTTCATTTTTCTGGTCCAATTTTCATGTCTGCCTTCAGTTCTTTCATTTTTTCTTGCTCTGCTTTCTTTTTTCCTTGTCCTGCTTTCATTTCTTCTTGCCCAATTCCGCTATCATTGCTATTAATGCTTTGATTTGTTCCTCCATTTTTGTTTCGATAGTTCTGGTCGTAACATGCATGTAACATTTCAATTTCATCTAAAATGTTCGATGAAAATCTTCGATATTAGTAAAATTGTTCTTCTTTCTTCGGGAGCTTTCCAACAATGTATGGTTTGTTGGAGTGTCACGATTGGTAGTAATTTCTAAAAACTTTGATAAAATTTTATAATAACGTCAGATTCATTCTTCTTTTTTTTTATAGCTTTCCATCTATATATGTATAACTTGTTAGGATTTCTCGCAGACAATGGAAACTTCCAGAAAGTTCGATGAAATTCTTCAGTGACATCAGATTCTTTCTTCTCTCTTGGATAGTTTTCACTTGCTAGGGTTTCTTACAGCCCATGGAAACATCCAGAAAATTGGCCGATGAACACTCTGGGAGAGAAAATACAAAATTCAAAGATCCAGAGGATCTTTGAGGAAAGTTACCGTTTAAAAAATACCCTTAAGAGCGCATAGTTTGGAGCACGGTCTTGATTGTAAATGCTAAGAAAAAGCTAGTTACGCCACTGGATTCTACGAAAAAATTGATAAAGAGTACTTACGTTTTAACGATAAATTTATTCTGATGGCGACATCTTAATTTCACAAAAAAGTGGTAGGTACATTGCTACGAAAGCTGCAACCCTCTTTCTTTAAAAATAAGAGTGATACTCCTGAAAAATGCTGAAAATGGGATACACTGTACATTAGGGTGCTTCAAACAAAATTTTTATTTTTTTTTTCTAACTCTTACCCCCTCAAATGTTTCTATTTGATGTAAAAAAAATCCTCGCCAAACATGAGCCCTATAGCTCAAATCTAAGGGGTCGCTATTTTTATTTTAGTTTCCCATTTAATTAACATAGGAAAA